GGGCTTCATCTTCTGCCGCGAGATTTGGGCGATGGCTTAGTTAGGTGACCCTCTGTTATATATCATCAAAATCTCATCAACCTCAATTTGGGTGGACGGTGCCGTCAAATCTCATCAAAGTCAATGAAATTTTGACATCAACCTAAGTCAATCAATGGAAGAATGCTTCGAAAATAAACTGGGCAGTTATAGAGATCAACATTCAGCAAATCGCCATAGCAGAAACTCTCACTACGTACGTACGGCAAGGACCATGTTCTAAGCTATCTTATCGAAGGAGGGATCAAACTTGCAGAGATTACCGGAACTTGATAGAATACGCATCATACCAAAAATCCAAAACGTGCGCAAAACTGATCTCAACTGAAAATAAAACTAACGAGATTTATGAAAATGCGAGGATGTCCCAGTGCAGGATGTTGGCCATCTCCACCATCGCAGTAGATGACGCGCTTGTCGCCACAGTCTTGCGGTGGGCGCTCTTGCACAAGATGCATGGCGATGTTCGGATTGACCTAAAAGAACCTATCAGAAGTGAGCCATGGACAGAGTTCGAAAAAAAACAAAGGCATGCAAAGAACAATGTCAACAACAGCACTACAAGAAAACAATAAATTGTTTCTGAGTGAAGGAAGATTCGTGCACTATTGGCGTTAAAGACAATGTCCGGGCAAAATGTAAATTTTGAGATTTTGGGCGTACCCCAACCCATCCTATGCTGAATTCGAAAATCTACACTAAGAGCACGGAAACGGCGAAAAGGGCTCTAACGTGGGAGGGAATAAGCTGGGCAGGGTCTCCCCCACATGGGTTCAGGCTACCAGCTCCCTGAGCAATCTTCTCGGTTCCGATTTTAAGGGCCGCATGCATTAACATCCCCGCTGGGGGGAGGGGATCGCAGCTTAAAAGAAAGCTTCATATCTCTGGATTTCACAATGTCTACCTATCCTTATGTAATCCTACCATCCTTCACTATGGACATATTAAAAAGGAGTGAAAAGCTGTACAAGTCGCATTTTCCAGCTTTTTGTGTGGTCCCCTCATGATCCCC